GACTGAGCTAAGAGTGTCAGGGAGGCGGGTGACGAGGAAATAGAGAGTGAAGTACATCGGGGGGGGGGGGGGGGGGGGGTTAGCGGCGCAGAACTCGGCTGAAAGGGCGGCACGAAAGCGAGTGTCAGTAGCGCGCAGGTGGGAAATGAGGTCCTCAGCAGTGGTGAACGAGGAAAGGTCGGGGAACAGGTAGGGTAGCATGAGTCGACCTATGGCTGCAGTGGCTGGGGAGGAGTAGCGCGCAACTACAGCATTGTACAGCTTCTTAGCAGTTTTGTGCTGGCTGAAATGCGCGCGCTCAGTGATTGGCAGATGGTTCCTAATAGCTAGGCGTGCAGTAGCATCACGAGTCTGCCACTGCGAGCGTTCGAGAGCAGGAGCATCGGCAGCAGGAGCAACGGCAGTGCCAGACACGTAATCAAACAGTGAAACGCCCTCTTTGGCATCGATCAGAAGGAACAGCTGCAGGTCGTCTAGCCACACAGCGAACTCTATGGGGCGACCGTCAGGTTCGAACGCGAGAAAATTAGGCCTCGTCATAACGGCAGCTGGCAAAGGCAGCAGAAAGCAGGCAGGCAGTAGACACGAGGCAGCAGGCAGTAGACAGTAGGCTAAGACAGAGGCAGTAGGCAGTAGACCGGAGGCAGCAGGCAGTAGACAGCAGGCAGTAGACAGCAGGCTAAAACAGAGGCAGTAGGCAGTAGGCAGTACAGGCAACGTGCAGGACAGTAGCTTGCTGCACTTGAGCTCTTAAGGTGGGGCTCTAGACAGTAGCAGGCCGCACAGTTCTAAGGCAACGGGCTCGGCAGCAGTGAGCCTCACAGGCAGGTACACGAGTAGGGCGCGCGTGGCTGCTGACTGCGTGCGGCTAAGGGCTGCGCGCGGCTCTCTGCTGCGCGTGGCTACGTGTTGCGTGCGGCTCCTAGCTGCACGTGGCGACGAGCAGCGCGCGCAGCTGCAGGCTGCGTGCGGCGACGGGCCTAAGCAGGCTGCGCGCGGGCGGCGTAAGGGGCGCGCGAGCTCTGCGCGGGCTGCGCGGGCGACGCGGGCCGGCGCGCGGCTCTGCAGCAGTGGCGCGCGCTATAAAAACGTGACGAGCGCGCGGAAAAAAAAAAGTGACGCGCGCTGCAGTCGAGGCGCGCGCGAGCAGTAGGCAAGGCAGGCAGTTAGGTGGGCCCGATTCGTAGGTCCTAGAGACCTCCTGCTCTAGTAACCATGTTAAGAACTAAGGCAAGGATGATGGGATTCGGTGAAGGGGTGGGTACAAGACTAGGGTATCGAGAAAGTTTCTGTACCCCCTAGTGCTAACCCCCATACAGCCTAGACAACCTAAACAAGTATATATAATTTGACAGGTGACACTCAGTCGCCTGCTCAACCAGCTGAACAACGTCAAGATGTTTCCCGGCGAAAAGGCCGGACCATACATCAACCGCTGCAGGAACCTGAGAGATCAATTCAGGAAAAGCGGCGGCAACTTCCCTGACAACATGTTCGTCACCATCATCCTTGCTGGATTGAGCCCGGAATGGCGCCAATGTAAGTCCCTCCTTTGCACACAAGGCACTCTCAGTGAAACTGCCCTCTGCTCCACGCTTCTCTCCGAGCAGAAGGAAATCGACCTGTACAACGAACGAGGCAACAAAAAGGAGAAGATTGCCTTTTACGCTCAAGCGCCACCGGACAAGAAAAGACTCTTCTGCAAGTACTGCAAGAAGACTGGGCACATGATTCAAGACTGCTGGAAGCTGAACGGCAACAACAACAACCAGAAGGGTGCCGCTGTGTCAAACATTATATATGTGTTATTGCTGTGTAGGCTATAGTGGGTTAGCCTTTAGGGGGTACACAACTCTAGGGTTTCATACTTGTACTCCAATGTTGTGTAGTTCAATCACTTCTTGATTCTAACATGGTATTAAGAGCTTAGGTTCTAGACCTAAGGGCCCATCGTTCCGCTAGAGGTGCCCTCGTGCGCCCTTTTTTTTTTTTTTTTAGCGCCCTCGTGCGCCTCTCCCCTAGTGCGCCCTCGTGCGCTCTCCTCTCGTGCAGCCCGCTAGCAGCCCGAGCGCGGCCCCGTTGTTTTAGCGCGCGTAAGAAAACCGCCGCCTAGGGCGGCCCGATTTTTCTCGCGAGCCCCAGTAGGCCGTCGCCCGTAGGCCCCGCTCGCCCCTAGGCCGACGCGCGACCCTCAGCCGCCCGCCCGAGGGTCGCAGCCAGCGCGACCAGAGCGTCGCAGCCCAGCCAGTAGGCCGCCGCGACGCTGCTCTAGGCCGCCGCCCGCGCGCTAGTCAGGCCCACGCATAGCCGCGGCCCGCCCGCTACAGCCGCCCACGCGCACGCCCCTCGTCGCGCACCGCCGCGTAGCCCAGCCCGAGCCGAGCCGCGCCGCCCGAACCGAGCCGCGCCGCCCAAACCGAGCCGCGCCGCTCGAACCGAGCCGCGCCGCCCGAACCGAGCCGTGCCGTCCGGCCTGAGCCGCGCCGCCCTACTGTGCCCCACCTGCAGCAACTCCTGTTCCTGTTCCTGTCGTACTACTGCTTCAACTGCTACTACTACTACTGCTACTGTTCCTACTGCTACTGCTGCCACTATGGCCACTCCCTCTATCCTCACCTTTGACGCTGAGGGCCGCCCGATTAAGTTTGAAGTTTGGTTAGATGACCTCCACCTGTTCCTCCAGATCACTGCCAAGGACGATGTCTCCCTGTATGACCACACGTGAGGCGCTGCTCCCGCACCTCCCGCTACTGCTGACAATACTGCTCGCTCCCAGTGGCAGACTCGTGATGCTCACGCCCGCCTAGCCGTTCGCAGCCACCTGCCGTTAGATGAGCACGAGCACTTCGGCCAGCATAAGACCGCTAAGGAGCTGTACGACGCAGTAGTCGCACGCTACTCCTCCCCTGCCACTGCTGCTATAGGCCGTCTCTCACTGCCCTACCTCTTCCCTGACCTATCCGCATTTGCCACTGTAGCTGACCTCATCATCCACCTCCGTACCAGTGACCTCCACTACCGTGCCGCGCTCCGACCAGATTTCCTCGCCAAGGCCCCCCCCCCCCCCCCCCCCCCCCCCCCGATGTACCTCACACTGTACCACCTTGTCACCCGCCTCCCTGACTCCCTTCGCACAGTCAAGGACCAGTTTCTCGCCCTCTCCCCCACTGACCTCACTGTCGACCTCCTCGAGAAGGAACTCCTAGCAGCTGAGAAGAGCATTGTAGCTGTAGGTGCCTCTCGTGGTGACCCCCGCACCCCCTTTTTTGAGGGGTGCTCCCCCTCCCCCCTCCTCCCCTCCATTGCATCTGCTGCTGCTGTCAACTTCCTCGGAGCTGAGGGGGTCGGGGCCGCGTCTGCTCCTAGTGGGAGGCGCAAGGGCGGCAAGGGCAAGGGGGGCAGGGGTGGTGGAGGTGGAGGCGGGGGTGGCGGCGGTGGAGGGGGTGGGGGGGGCGGGGGTGGTGGCGGAGGTGGGAGTGGCGCGGGTGGTGGGGGGGTCGGTGGCTGCACAGGGGGTGGTGGCGGCGGAGGTGGTGGGGGTGGTGGGGACGGTGGTGGCAGTGGTGGCGGAGGTGGAGCGGGTGGCGGTCGCGGTGGAGCGGTGCAACGTGGGGAGTTCGGCGGTGGCCAGAGGCAGCAGCAGCACCGTCCCGGCGAGACTCCCTCGCCCCAGTAGCTCCGTGAGTGGTACTCTCAGCGTGGGGGGTCTGGGGGTGGGGGTACCTGCCCGTACGTCATCCGCGCAGGTGACCGCACTGGCCAGACTTGTGGGAAGTTTCACACGGCGCAGCGCTGTTTCTTTCGCCTCGACGACGCCTGGCGCGAGTGTCAAACTTATATCATATAACTTGTCTAGGCTACTGTGGGGTAGACACTATGGGGTACAGTTTCCTAGGGTTTCCTACTTGTACCCAACCTAGTGCTAGTTCATTCATTCCTCGTTTCTTCACATGGTATAGAGCAGGTTCCCTAGTGGGAACGCTTCCTTGGGCCCACCACTGAATTTTTTTTTCTGACCGGAGCGTCAGTCGCTCCTGCCCGAGGCGCGCCTTGTTCGCCGCCCTTCCAGGCCCCTCGCGGCCCCTAGCGGCCTCGTCGCCGCCCCTACGCGGCCCCGTCGCCGCCTCTCTCCCTACGCGGCCCCGTCGCCGCCCCTACGCGGCCCTGTCGCCGCCCCTACTCGGCCCCGTCGCCGCCTCTACGTAGCCCTGTCGCCGCCCCTAGCGGCCCCGTCGCCGCCCCTAGCAGCCCCGTCGCCGCTCCCCTTCCTACGCGGCCCCGTCGCCGCCCCTAGCGGCCCCGTCGCCGCTCCCCTCCCTACGCGGCCCCGTAGCCGCCCCTAGCGGCCTCGTCGCCGCCCCTATGCGGCCCTGTCGCCGCCCCTACGTGGCCCTGTCGCCGCCCCTAGCGGCCCCGTCGCCGCCCCTAGCGGACCCGTTGCCGCTCCCCTTCCTACGCGGCCTCGTCGCCGCCACTACACGGCCCCGTCGCTGCCTCTACGCGACCCCGTAGCCGCCCCTAGCGGCCCCGTCGCCGCTCCCCTCCCTACGCGGCCCCGTCGCCGCCCCTAGCAGCCCCATCGCCGCCTCAGCCGGCCCCGTTGCTGCCTCTACCGAGCAGCCCAGCAGCTGAGCCGCCCAACAGCAGAGCCGCCAAGCCGCCCAGCAGCCGAGCCGCCGAGGCGCTGAGCCGCCCAGCAACCGAGCCGCCGAGCCGCCCGACAGCCGAGGCGTCCAACAGCCGAGCCGCCAAGCCGCCGAGCCGCCAAGCCGCCCAGCAGCCGAGCCGCCGAGCCGCCGAGCCGCCCGACAGCCGAGCCGCCCAGCAGCCGAGCCGTCCAGTAGCCGAGCCGCCGAGCCGCCCAGCAGCCGAGCCGCCGAGCCGCCCAGCAGCCGAGCCGCCAAGCCGCCCTGCCGTCGAGCCGCTACTGTTCCTCCCGGCGCGCCCCGGATCTACTTACTCGGACTGGTGAGATCACTCCCTGCTAGGCCACTGCAGTCATGGCTACCCCCAGTGTTCTTACCTTTGATGCTGAGGGTCGTGCTGTTGACTTTGAGGTCTGGGTCGATGACCTCCAGCTGTTCCTACAGTGCGATAGGGTAGACGGACTCTCCCTGTTCGATCTCACCTCTGGTGCCTCCCCTGCCCCGCCTGCTACTGCTGACAGCACTGTTCGCTCACAGTGGGCCACACGCGATGCTGCTGCCCGTCTTGTTGCGCGTCGCCACTTACCGACCACTAAGCGTGCGCACTTTAGCCAGTACAAGAGTGCTAAGACCTTGTACGACGCTGTAGTTGCACGCTACTCTTCCCCTACCACTGCTGCGCTGAGCCGCCTCATGCTACCGTACCTCTTCCCTGACCTTGCTGCCTTTCCCACAGTCGCTAACCTCATTACGCACCTCCGCACTAGTGACACTCGCTACCGCGCTGCGCTTTCTGCTGAGCTCTGTGCCAAGAACCCCCCCCCCCCCATGTACATCACCCTCTACTACATAGTCACCCGGCTCCCTGACTCCCTTCGCTTAGTCAGGGACCACTTCCTCTCAGTTTCCCTCACCACACTCACCGTTGACCTCCTCGAGGAGCGCCTCCTAGCAACAGAGAAGAGCATAGTCGCTGTAGGAGCCTCTCGTGGTGACCCTCGCACCCCCATCTTTGAGGGGTGTTCCCCTTCCCCCCTCCTGCCCTCTATTGCTTCAGCTGCTGCGGCCGACCTCGTTGGTTTCGAGTCGGTCGGCGCTGCGTCTACCCCTAGCGAGAGACGCCGCACCGGCAAGGGCAAGGGGGGCAAGGGCGCTGGAGGGGCTAGCGGGGGCGGTGGAGGTGGTGGTGGAGGCAATGGAGGGAATGGGGGTGGTGGTGGGAGTGGTGGAGGGGGTGGAGGTGTCGGTGGCAGCAGTGGAGGCGGAGGAGGCGGCGGCGGTGGCGGAGGGAGCGCATGCGGCAGAGGTGGCGGAGGCGGCGGAGGTGGCGGAGGCAGCGGAGGTGGCGGAGGCGGCGGCGGCAGCGATGGAGCTGGTCGTGGCTCTGCGCAGAGGAGTGGGTCCGGTGTTGGTCCGCGCCAGCAGCAGCAGCGCAGTCGTGAGACCCTGTCCCCTCAGCAGCTTCGTGAGTGGTACGTTGCGCGTCAGCGCGGTGGGGGTACTGGTCTCTGCACCTACGTCCTTCGCACCGGCGACCACGCTGGTGAGCAGTGCGGGGGCCCGCACTCCACCCAGCGTTGCTTCGGCCGCCTGACGGACACGTGGCGTCACCAGTTCCCTGAGGCCTCTGAGATCCCTCGCTAGGGCGGGGGTTGCTATCTTTGATCTTGATTATGATGCTATTCTTGGTTACAACGCTTACGCCGCTTAGTCGGCCGGTTGCAGTCTCCCTGGCGGACCCCTCTGGGGGTCCTGTCCTTGCTAGCTTCTCCACTATCTTACCGTGCCCAGTAGCCCCCTCTGGCACACTGTCAGGTCTCTACCTCCCCTCGTTCTCTACGAACTTGGTGAGTGGAGCTGATCTACAGGATAGGGGGGTTGACCAGTTCACTCCTGCGAGTCAGCGGGTGACCCACTGCACGTGTGCTCGGATAGGCCGACACTTGGCCACGTTCACCCGTCGGCCGGGGTCGAGCCTGTACACACTTACTACAGAGTCTCCTCTGGCTGCTGAGTCTGGTCAGGTAGCTGCGTCGAGTCAGGTGTTTGCTGCAGCGTCCAGGTCTGGTCCTGAGTCTGCTCCCTGCTCGTGTCGTCTCCTGTCCCACCAGACTCTCCTTTGGCACCACCGCCTTGGTCACCCCTCCCTGCCTCGTCTCCGAGGCATGGCCTCCCGTGTCCTTGTCTCTGGTCTCCCCCGGTCTCTCCCTCCCCTACCTTCAGGGCCTGGCCCTACCTGCATCCCCTGCGTCGAGGGGCGACAGCGCGCCGCCCCTCAGTCCTCCGAGTTTCCTTCGACAGAGGCTCCGCTGCAGACTCTCCACATGGACGTGTGGGGCCCCGCCCGCGTCCGTGGCCAGGGGCACAAGCGTTACTTCCTCTTGGTGGTTGACGACTACTCGCGTTATACCACAGTCTTCCCCTTGCGCAGCAAGGGTGACGTCACTGAGGTTGTGATCGACTGGATCCGCGCAGCTCGTCTCCAGCTCAGAGAGAGTTTCAGCTCGGACTTTCCTGTTCTGCGTCTGCACTCTGACAGAGGCGGGGAGTTTTCCTCTGCCCATCTGGGAGCCTTCTGTCAAGCACAGGGCATCCGCCAGACCTTCACGCTTCCAGCCTCTCCACAACAAAATGGGATTGCTGAGCGCCGCATTGGCATGGTCCTGGACGTCGCTCGTACGTCCATGATCCATGCAGCTGCCCCCCATTTTCTGTCGCCGTTTGCGGTTCAGTACGCAGCGCATCAGCTCAACCTTCAGCCCCGGGTCTCCTTGCCAGAGACCTCCCCCACCCTTCGGTGGACGGAGAAGGTTGGCGATGCGTCTGCGTTTCGGGTCTGGGGATCTCGGGCGTTTGTCCGCGACTTGTCTGCGGACAAGCTGTCCCCCCGTGCTGTTCCCTGCGTCTTCCTTGGCTTCCCCCCTGACGCGCCTGGGTGGCAGTTTTACCACCCCACCTCGTGTCAGAACATATAGCTTACTTGTTTGTGTAGGCTATAGTGGGGTATCCCATAGGGGGTACAACACAATTAGGGTTTCCCATTTGTACTCACTTCGTTCATACTCATTTCATTTCTCGTTCAATTCTTCTCATGGAATCAGAGCAGGTCCCCTCCTAGGGACTATTCCTAGGGCCCACCGAAGCGCGCCCCGAGGCGCGCGTTCTTTTTTTTTAGCGACCCTGCGTGTCGCCCCTACCGTCGCGCTCCCGCTGCTCCCTCCTCTTACGGCCGCCCGCCCTAGTGCCCGAGCGCCAACCGCCCTAGCGCCCTGACGGCCGCCCGCCCTAGCGCCCTGACGGCCGCCCGCCCCAGCGCCCGAGCGCCGCCCGCCCTAGCGCCCGAGCGCCGCCCGCCCTAGCGCCCGAGCGCCGCCCGCCCTAGCGCCCGAGCGCCGCCCGCCCTAGCGCCCGAGCGCCGCCCGCCCTAGAGCCCTGACGGCCGCCCGCCCTAGCGCCCGAGCGCCGCTCGCCCTAGCGCCCTGACGGCCGCCCGCCCTAGCGCCCGTGCGCCACTCGCCCGAGCGCCCTGACGGCCGGCCGCCCGCCCTAGCGCCCGAGCGCCGCCCGCCCTTTCACCCTTACGGCCGCCCGCCCGAACGCCTGAGCGACGCCCGCCGTCGCCCCAACGCCCTAGCGCCCGACGTCCGCGAGCCGCCCGTCGCAGCCGCCCGTGAGCTCCCTGAGCCGCCCGCGCCGCCGTCCCTGAGCCGCCTGTGCAGCCGCCCGCGAGCCGCCAGTGAGCCGCCCGTCGCGACACCAGCGCCGCACGAGCCGCCCGTACAGCCCAGCAGCCCGAGCCGCCCGAGCCGCCCGCGCCGCCCCAGCAACCCGAGCCGCCCGAGCCGCCCGAGCCGCGCGAGCCGCCCGAGCCGCCCCAGCCGCACGAGCCGCCCGAGCCGCCCGAGCCGCCCGAGCCGCCCGCGCCGCCCCAGCAACCCGAGCCGCCCGAGCCGTGCCGCTCTTCCTGAGCTGTGTTCCTCTGCTGCTGCACTACCCGACTCTCCCAGCCCGGTGAGACTTTCAGCTGCTGCCATGGCCACCCCCAATGTCCTTACTTTTGACGCTGAGGGGAGGGCCATTGACTTTGCCGTCTGGATTGAAGACCTGCAGCTGTACTTACTATGTGATGCGATAGATGAGGTCTCTCTCTTTGACTTTGTCTCTGGCGCTGTCCCTGCCCCACTTGCTGATGCTGACTCTGCCGTTCGCTCCAAGTGGGCGACCCGCGATGCTGCTGCACGTCTTGCTGTGCGTCGCCACCTCCCTTCCTCTGAGCGTGCCCACTTTAGTCAGTGCAAGACCGCTCAGGCCTTGTACGACGCTGTAGTTGCACGCTACTCCTCCCCTTCCTCCGCTACCCTTAGCCGCCTCATGCTACCGTTTCTCTTCCCTGACCTCGCCTCCTTTCCCACTGCTGCTGACCTCGTTACCCACCTCCGTGCTAGTGACACCCGCTACCGCGCTGCCCTTCCTGCTGAGTTCCGCGCTGCGAACCCTCCTCCCATGTACATCACTCTCTACTTTCTCGTCACCCGTCTCCCTGAGTCCCTTCGTGTCGTTAGGGACCAGTTTCTCTCTGTCTGTCCCACCACTCTCACTGTCGATCTCCTTGAGAAGTCCCTGCTAGCGGCTGAGAAGAGTATTGTCGCTGTAGGGGCCTCTCGGGGTGACCCTCGCACCCCCATCTTTGAGGGGTGTGGTCCTTCCCCCCTGCTGCCCTCTGTCGCCTCTGCCGCTGCGGCCGACCTCGCTGGTTTTGAGTCGGTCGGCGCGGCGTCTGCCCCCAGTGGCAGACGCCGCTCTGGCAAGGGCAAAGGGGGCAAGGGAGCGGGTGGAGCTAGAGGGGGCGGTGGAGGAGGCGGTGGGGGTGGCGGGGGGAGTGGGGGTGGCGGTGGGGGTGGTGGCGGGAGTGGAGGTACTGGTAGCGGCGGTGGAGGCGGAGGTGGCGGCGGAGGTGGTAGCGGAGGAGGCGGTGGGAGCGGTGGGAGCGACAGTCCTGGTGGGGGAGGTGGCGGTGGAGACGGGGGTGGCGGTGGAGGCGGGGGTGGCGGTGGAGGCGGGGGTCGGAGTGGCTCGTCCCAGCGGAGCAGCTCTGGGGGTGGTCAGCGCCAGCAGCAGCAGCAGCAGCAGCCGCAGCAGCAGCCACAGCAGCAGCAGCGCTCTCGCACCGTCCCCGGCCCTCAGCAGCTCCGTGAGTGGTACTTGCAGCGTCAGCGCGGTGGTGCGCTTGGTCCCTGCCCCTACGTTCTTCGCACACGTGACCGTGCAGGGGAGAGGTGTGGAGGCGCCCACACAGCCCGCCGTTGCTTTGGCCGCCTGACCGACGCCTGGCGTCAGCAGTTTCCGGAGGCCGCTGAGATCCCCCGCTGGGGAGAGCTGTCTAGGGCTGGTGTAGCTATTTATGATCTTGATTTTGATGCTATTCTCTCTGCTATGTATGCTGTGACTGGTAGTGATGAGGATGACTGTTACCGGTGTTTCCCGCCCGACCAGGGCATTGGTACTGCCGCGTCAGGTACTAGTGAGGCTGCTGCTCTAGGTGCCAGTGCGTCTGTGCTCTCAGGTACTGGTGAGTCTGCCCTCTCAGGTACTGTGTCGGCTTCGGCCTCTCACACCTTCACCCTTGACTCCGGAGCGTCTCGCTCCTTCTTTAGGGACCGCACCACTCTCACGCCGCTGAGTCGGCCGGTTGCGGTGTCCCTAGCTGACCCCTCTGGGGGGCCTGTCCTGTCTCGCTTCTCCACTGTCCTCCCGTGTCCGGCGGCCCCCTCTGGCACCCTGACTGGTCTCTACCTCCCCTCGTTCTCGACGAACTTGGTGAGTGGTGCTGACCTCCAGGATGCGGGTGTCCACCAGTTCACCCCTGCTCGTCAGCGGGTGACCCACTGCACGGAGGCGGATACAGGTCGCCACCTGGCTACGTTTACACGTCGGCCAGGGTCGAGCCTCTACACACTGACCACTGCTTCTCCTCCAGGTGCTGAGTCTGGTAGGGTCCCTTCGTCTGGTCAGGTGTTTGCTGCAGCGTCCAGGTCTGGTCCTGAGTCTGCCCCCTGCTCGTGTCGTCGTCTGTCTCACGAGACCCTCCTCTGGCACCACCGCCTTGGCCACCCCTCTCTGCTTCAGCTCAGAGGCATGGCCTCGCGAGTCCTTGTGTCTGGTCTTCCCCGGTCTCTCCCTCCCCTTCCTCCGGGCCCTGGCCCCACCTGTGTCCCCTGTGTCGAGGGGCGCCAGCGTGCTGCCCCTCACTCCTCCCAGTTTCCTCCGACAGAGGCCCCGTTGCAGACGCTTCACATGGACGTGTGGGGCCCAGCCCGCGTCCGTGGACAGGGTCAGGAGCGCTACTTCTTGCTGGTGGTTGACGACTACTCGCGTTACACCACAGTCTTCCCCTTGCGCAGCAAGGGTGAGGTCACTGAGGTGTTGATCGACTGGATCCGCGCAGCTCGTCTCCAGCTTCGGAGGAGCTTTGGCTCTGACTTCCCTGTTTTACGTCTGCACTCGGACAGAGGCGGAGAGTTCTCCTATGGCCTCCTGAGTGCCTACTGTCGTGCGCGAGGCATCCGCCAGACCTTCACGCTTCCGGACTCACCACAGCAGAATGGGATTGCTGAGCGCCGCATTGGCATGGTCATGGACGTCGC